ACCTCATGCTACCCATGCTGGTTCTCAAGCTTCGTCCCATACTTACCCTCCCATCCTTCATCACTCATAGACCTTCTCAAGCAAAGCAACCCAGGTCAAGGATAAGGACGAAACGGAGACGAGTGCATCAACCCCGTCTACAGACGAAATGCATGAAGCTCCTATCCCCTAATGGGGAGCAGGTGGCGGCATTCAACGCTGTCACCCACATCATCATGGACACAAATGGCTTCTGGAAGGTTGTGGATAAGGCCATTGCGGTGATGGAGCCAGTTGTCAAGCTCCTTCCTTTGGTGGACGGTCCAGGAGCAACTATGAGCAAAATGTATTTCGGCATGGACGCGGTTGTGGCTAGAATGTGCACGTTGGACTGCCTGTCGGAGGCTGAGAAGGCGGATGTGGAGAAGATTTTGATGGACCGGTGAGCATTCATGCCATTAGAGTTGCACTGCGCGGCCGCCTTCCTCGACCCCGAGTACAGGACGCACACCGTGCGAGACACGGAGATTTGCGAGGGGTTTAACAGCTGGCTTTGCTCTTGGGCGCCGCCGGAGCTGCTGCAGGGAGAAATCAGTAGACAGGTGGACATGTGGGTGCAGGGATTGGGCACTTTGGGGTCACAGAACGCAAGGGATCAGGCGAGTTCGAAGACTCCGACGCTATGGTGGGAGGCTTTCGGGGGGTCTTTGGACCTCCTCCAACCGCAGGCGATCAAACTCCTTGGGCAGGCGAGCTCGTCGGCTGCGTGCGAGCGAAACTGGAGCTTGCACCAGCTCATTTTCCGCCAACGCCGCACGAAGATGTTGCCGGAGAGATTGAACAAGCTGGTGTATAGCAATTGGAATATCCAATTGTCGACGCGGAGAGAGCGAGGGGATGGGGAAAATGTGCACATTCCGTGGAAGGACGACGAGCTGGCGAGCATGGAAGTCGATGAGTGGTACGACCAATGGACTGCACAGGTTAGGAAGGGAGAGCCGACGATGTTGCTGCAACGGAGGTCCGTGTGGACGAATTCGGGGATGCCCCGCTAGAGCGCACGAAGTGGGTTGACACAGAGAGACCACCACGTCACCCAAGAAGAATAGATACGCACTCAACAATGCTGAAAGTAGGCGGGTCAAAAAAAGACAAATCCACAAATGGAGGAGCTGAAATTCAATGCTGTTCAGGGGTCCTTCGGCCAAACGGAAGGAAGTGTGTGTGTGTGTTTCTCGATGTACTCTCATGACTTGCCGATGGGAAAGGAACCGGACTGATGCTCCCCAGAATGGATATGGATCCAGGACCATAAGGCCTTGGGTTGGCTACAGATTACACTATACAATACACGCTTCAGAAGCTAGGCTAGTTGGGCCGCCCAACCGTGCAGCCCAGTCCGGGCATCTGGGTAAGTCACCCGGGGTACCCGGGCATGGGGATCAGTAAGATCTTTTTTTTAAGTTTTTTTCATTTTTTCGAATTTTTTTCTTGAGCGGTGCGGGTTTTCCGCACATGCCCAGAGGAGCCCAAACCCAGGCTCTTTTCTTTCTTTGAGGCTTCGCTGTCAAGGAGGACAAAGGGGGTATAAATTGGTTTTAAACTGGGCTAAAACGATTTAAAGTTTAAACCACCCGCACACCTGGGTGCGGAGGCGCTGCACAGTGCGCCAAGCTTTTCCAAACTGCCAGTGGCACACTTCCTTCTTTTTTTCAGTTGTGGTGATGAACGCATTTCTACAACGCCGGTGATGAACGCATTTCTACAACGCTGGGGCCGTGTACTGGCGGTTCAAAGGGGGCTGCCTTCGTCTGATTCTGTTATTTTCTTGTTTATCTTCGATTCTTTGAGGAACTCTGATGTGACCCTCAGCCAAAAGTCGTTTGCTTGCACTTTTTTAGAGTTTAAAGTTTAAACAACATTTCTTTTTCTCTCTTTTTTTTGGGGGGCGGGGGGCGGGGGGAGCAGAGGCTGCCCGGAACCCTGCTCGGGGGTCATGCTCAGCCGGGCCCCTTGCCGTGTATCTGGGCAGAAGTTGGGTGCCCGGGCACCTGGAAAAACAGCCTAGTTCAAAAGGCATTTATTTCACTTGTTAGTACTTGTTACCTTCGAAGATCATTACTTAAATGAACGTCATAATGCTTTTTTGTTGGATGATGTTCATATCATATGGACAACATAGACAAGTACAATGACATTTCCGAGATATTGATTCTTTCACTGTGCTCAGCAGACGGTTCGAATCTGATCTGATGCCAGATAAGAGAATCGTAGACATTAGGCCAGTGCTGCAGAAATGCAGAATGGGAGCAGCAGCAGGTAGCCGCCAGGAGCGTTAGCGCCGGACCGGTAAGCGCTAATTCCCAGCGCTAAATTTTGCGACCGTGCCACGACGAATTTTCACCCCGCGCAGAAACTCGCGACGCGCGCACACATCATCACTCTACGAATTCGAAGTAGGAGGGCGGGAAACTTGGAGGAGAGATTGCACCACACCTCGCCACGCCCTCGGGCGTGGCTACTCACAATCTAGCAGGAGACAGGAAGCGACGGGAAGAGGAGGAGGAACAGGGAGGCAGGGAGGAGCAATGAGGCTACGAGGACAACAGGAGAAGTGCGGTGCAGCTAAGTTTAGGAAAGGACAACAGCGGCGGGAAGTAATGAGAAGTAGCGCAAACAAGTTTTCCCGAAGAGAGTAGAAGAAGGAAGAAAGGAGAGTGAGACATAACTAAGAATAGGAAAGGACAAAAGAGGAGACGGCCACCTTCCAGGTTCGAACTTGAGCCTTGTGAGAGAAGAAAAAGACAAGAGCGGAGAAAGCCAAATCACGCCACACTTACCGGCGAGGCCGTGCCTAAAATCAGGAAAGAGGCAAGAGGAGGAGAAAGAAGAAGAGGAGAGGTAAGGACAGGAACACTACGAGGAGGAAAAGGAGAGGAGGGGCATAGAGCAGGAACAAGAAAGGACGAAAGACACGGAATGATGATGGGCAAGGGTCAGTGAAGAAAACGACAAGCAAGCAAATCTTCGTCCCCAAAGGAGCAGACGACACAACAGCCACGACTATCATCATTCACCGTACAAGGTCAGCACAGCGCACACCGGAGACACAGGTAAGTTCTCGCCAGCCATTCAGCATCCAA